CGTGCCCCCTGGGTCTCCAGGAAGGGCCTCTCGGGGAACCAGGCCAGGCAGAGGACGGCGGGACTCGGAGCCTGCCTTAGTCTTCCAATTTGTAGCTGGAGGATCCAGCCCACCGTGCGCAGAGCGGGGTACGTCTCAGCCGCCCGCCCTGTAGCAGGGTGTCCCATGCTAGTCCCCGATGCTAGGAAGGGTCCCGAAGATGGAGGAGGGGGAAAGGGAGCTGCCCTCTCAGCCTGTCACCCCAAGCACCCAGGTCGGGCAGGAAGGGCTGGGGTCAGACGCAGGGTTTTGCCCCTGCCAAGCCCACCCCCGACACCAAGAGTCCCCACGCCCCAACCTGAGCTGAGAAGCAGGACGCGTTTGCCGCCTATCTTCTATGGGCCACTGGAATCTACGGAGTGCGCTGCGGGCAGGTGCTTCCTGGGGCTCTGCCGGTCTCCTCAAGAACCCTACGCTGGCAGCCCCATTGTAGAGATGGGTAAACAGGCTCAGACTTTCCTGATGCGAAACTGTCGGGGGGGGGGGTCGCCTGGGTGGCTCAGTTGTTGAGTGTCTGACTTCGGCGCAGGTCATGATCTCATGGGTCGTGAGTTCAAGCCCCACATTGGGCCCCCTGCTGTCAGCGCAGAGCCCGCTTCAGATCCTCTGTCTCCTTCTCTCTGCCCCTCCCCCACTCATGCGCACTCTCAAAAAGAAATAAAACATTAAAAAAAAAAAAGAAAAATGTTGGGGTCAAGGAAGAATTCTTGAGGTGTCTTCGGTGCAAAAAAGGTAGTTTTTTTTGTTTTGTTTTTGTTTTTTAATTTTTTTTTCAACGTTTATTTATTTTTGGGACAGAGAGAGACAGAGCATGAACGGGGGAGGGGCAGAGAGAGAGGGAGACACAGAATCGGAAACAGGCTCCAGGCTCTGAGGCATCAGCCCAGAGCCCGACGCGGGGCTCGAACTCACAGACCGCGAGATCGTGACCTGGCTGAAGCCGGACGCTTAACCAACTGTGCCACCCAGGCACCCCAAAAGGTAGTTTTTTTAAAGCACGGGGACAGGACCCGTGGGCAGGAAGAGCTGCACTGGGGCTGTGAGGGGTGACTGATCATATACTTTCAAGTTGGGAGGGGGTCAGGGACAGGGTAGTCTCTACGGATTTGGAAGCAAGGTTTCAGGACCTTGAGGGGCTTGCTGCTGTTAGGAAAAGGTCATTTACTGTCTAGTAAAACCTTACTCAGGAGACCTTTCAGATGTATACCAGGGGCCATATGCTTGGAGGAAGATGGCTAACCTATACCTTTGGTAGGTGTGTGTGTGTTAGAGATAAAGGAAGTTTCCAAGGGGTTTTTACAGGATCCTGGAGGTTGGGCTAATGCCAAACTAAGGTTGCCTTTTACCCCAGCAAAGAATTAACATAGAGGCATCTAAGCTCCCAGAGGGAGGTCACTCTGCCCGTCCCAAGTACTTGTCAATGGCTCGAAGTTATAAGGCAGTTTAATTTTCTTCTTTCGCCTTTGTTCTCCACATCAGTGCCTACCTTGCCTAAGTCACTCCGATGCCTGGCCACCTCCCTGGGTGCGTGCGACCCGGATCTTCCTTTCCTGAGTGAGGCCCCAGCATCCTGAGACACCCCCCTCCCCAATCCGGCCAGGCAGGGCTGAAGGGAGACGAGAGCATGGGGAGAGGAGCTGGAGGACCTGGTTGGCGGGGCGGGGCGCTGCCGCCGGGAGGCTGGTGGCCACCCCCGTGACCACCCCAGGAAGGACGTCCTGACCCTGGGCACGTGGCGAGGGCAGGGTTAGGAGTCCATGTCCCAGGGCCGTGACTGCGCGCGCCAAGCTGCAAGGGGCCGCTCTCAGCGCAGCTTCCGGGGTCTGGGAAACCGGCTGCTTCGCCAGGAAGTCCCTCCGCGAGGGCCCGGGGGACACCGAGGAGCGGCGGGGCCGCCTGCACCTCCCGAGGGCCCCCCCCCACCGGCCCCGGCGCCCCGAGGTCTTGAGGCCGCTGCCCAAGGGCGGGTCCTGGGGAAGCGCGTCCCCGCAGCCCCGCGTCTGCGCCCGGCGGCCAGCCCGGCTCCGCCCGGAAACCCCGACGCCCCGCGAGCGCCCTCAGGCGACGAAAGAACGAGTCGGCGAGAAAGCAGAGACTCCGGGTCCCGCAGGGAGGGGGCGGGCGGAGACGCGGCTGAGCCGTGGGAAGGGCGGAGCGGCGGGGAGGGCGGGCCAGGGTGGCCTTTGAGCGGAGGTCGCGGCCTGGGGGCCCCTCTGGGGAGGTAGGGGTGCTGCAAGCAGAGACGGAGAGCAGGGCTAGAGGCAGGAGCCCCGGGGTGGGGGTGGGGGACTTGGGGTAGAGAGAAGGGGGCTGTTGGGTTGAATGTGGCAGGGAGAGGGGGAGCCAGAGAAGATGACACCTCGCTTTTTGGCTCGGGCAGCTGCGTGGGTAGCGTTCGTTGGAAGGCAGACATACTGCTGGGGCAGGGACAGATTGGGATCAGAAGCAAGAATTCGGTTTTGAGATTTTCACTACATTTTCAGGTGGAGATGGAGAGATCCAGCTGCAGATGGCAATGTCAGGATAGCAGGATAGGGTGTGGAAAGCACGAATAGGACGAGGGCATCCAGAGGGACCATGGGACAGATGGAGAGAGAAGGGGCCCCAGGACTTTCAAAGACTCCCAGCTGATTCATTTTGTTGGGCTTTGTTTTCCCTTTATCGAGAAAGCTTGCATTGCACAGAAGAGGCAAAAAGCAAACCCTAAAATTGAAGCTGTCCCTCAGGCCTTGAGCTGGCCGGGTGCTAAGATCACCACTGGGTTAGACAAGGGACTGTGTCCCTGGAGACGGGAGCCCAACCTTGGCCTCCCTGCCTCCCAACGGCTCAGGAGAGGAGGCGGGTTGGATGTAGAGGATACCGGTGGGTTAGCGATTCGGTCATCAATGCCAGAACCCTTAGAACGGAGCTCCTGCTGCAACGTTCCCTCCCTCCCTGCACGGACTGCCAAGCGGCACGATCCTCCGGGTGCCCGCTGAGTTTCATCTGTGCCGATGCACTCTTTTATCAATGAGCTCATCTTTGCATTCGCATGACCTCAGTAATCACCTCTTCACTCTCGTATTATGTCATGGCACAGCTGTGGACCTGCACTGTGGCACGGCACCAGAGAACAAGGCTTCTCTCGTGACACCCTCTGAAAGAAGTCGTAGGTGCTGCTGGATGGGTATGGACCGGGTTGTGGGTGCCACCTTCTCCACATTCTGGAAAGCCATCTGCGGGGCTGACTGACACCCACTGCATCCAGAAGTACAACCAGTGCTGTTCACAGCCGGGCAAGAGGTTCTAGCTAAAGGAAGCTGGGTTCTCCTTTAGACCAGCCTGGTCTGGCAGATGCTGGTCAGACATCCACGCTGGCCACCGGGCAGGTAATAGCAGGACGGCTTTTACAGAGTGGGGAACGCCAAGCCTGAGAAAGGCTTCTGGGGTTTCTTCCAGTGACACATTTCTCTGTGGCTTCAGACTGGGTCCGTGCTGTGAAGTCACCCCTGTGTGTTCTGGTCTGATGTCTCTGAGGTGCCTTCTTCATCTACAAATGGCCTCATTCACTGTTGGAACGTTCTGGAACTGGATAGGTTGGCTCCCGCATGGCGTGGCCAGAGACCACCCTGGACGGGACCTGCTATCAACCCAAGTAGGACGTGTCCACTTGCCACGGTTTTGCCTTTTCTAGAGTATCATATCCTCAGTAAAGCCTGGAATATATAAGTGGATATGACTTCCAGCTGGTCATGTGGCCTTGAGTAAATCACAGATCCTGTCATCTTGGCCTTAAGCGGCCCATGTGGTCATGTGTCCAACCCTCGCTGCGTGAGTACCTCTGTGTCCTTCCTGAGAAATGGCACCTAGCTTTGCCTACAGCAAGATCCTCTCCGAAATCCATTTCGTGTGGGTGGATTTCCACCGGGCTCCTGGACAGGGTTGAGTGGTGAGTGTGAGCACCCAGGACCTTCTCAGTGTTGGGGGGGAAAAGGGGGGAGACAGAGTGTGGCCGCTGCTCTGGCTGAGTCTGGACTCCTGTGTGGCCTCATCCATAGCCTGGTTTGTGCTATACTTTGCTCTAGATTCGTCGGCTTTGTGTCTCCAACAGCACAGTGGGCTCCTTGAGGATGGGCGTCACACCCACCCAGAGGTTGTTTTCCTGAATGCACCGTCCGGGTTGGATACGTGGGAGCCCCTGAGCTCAGAAAGCAGATGGTGCCTGTCAGAAGGGCAGGACTCACTCAGGTCCTGGTCCCGGAGCTTCCCAGCCTGCGATCTGGCATCGCTTTGCATTTAAATGGTCGAGTTACACCAGTCTCAAGGAATCCTTCTGGGGAGTAAACGAAACCATGTAGAAAAAGGTGAACACGAAATAAATGTTCAATTAGAGTTAATTAACTTAATCAAAGTTAATTAAGACAAATGGACTAGCTAAATCAAGGGTTGTTGGGGTGCCCTTAGATTCAACCATATTCCCTCTCAGTTCCCGACTTTAGTCCCCCCTCCCTCCCCTCGCCCTGTCCTGACTCTCGTTTTGCTCCCACGGTGCTTTTGGAGGGCACAAGGGCTGTGTAGCAAACATACTCATGTATTTTTTTTTTTTTAATGTTTATTTACTTATTTTTGAGAGAGAGCGTGGGCAGAGAGAGGGAGAGAGAATCCCAAGCAGCTGTCAGTACAAAGCCTGGGGCTCGATCCCACAAACCGGGAGATCATGACCTGAGCAGAAAGCAAGAGTCCCACACTGAACAGACTGAGTCAGGCACCCCACCACACCGGTGTATTTTCAACGTGCTTGGTCCCCGACCCGGCGGTACCCGTCATTCTCCCAGGTGCTAGCGAGGCCGCCTGGATTCCCGCGAATGCCCACACCTGCCCCGGGCGCATGCGCGGCGCCGGCGGGGAGAGCGCGGATCTCCGCCTCCCGGCTCCGGTTTCCGCCCGGTCGGGGGCGCGCGGGACCAGCTTCCGGCCGGCGGTGCGGCGCGCGCAGACGGTTTCCGGCCGGCCGGGGGTGTCGCGGGAGCATGGGGAAAGTGAGGGGGCTGCGGGCCCGGGTTCACCAGGCGGCGGTGAGGCCCGCGGGGCCGGCGGCGCCCGGCCCCGCGCCCCCGGCCCGGGAGGCGGCCCCCGCGCAGGCTTCGGCCGGCGGAGTCGGGGCGAAGGTGAGTGGCCTCCGCGGACCCCGGGGCGGTGTGGCTGAGCACCGAGGTCCGAGGGGACCCTGCGGCGGGCACGCCCATCGCACGCGGCCTCCTCCCTCGCTCAGTGATGTTTTCGGGGTTCGTCCGGGTTCTAGCCCGCTCGCCTCGGCGCTTCCTCCTGCCGGTGGTGGTGGGCCGGCCGACCACGTGTTGTAACGTGGGCGGGCCCGCGGGCGCGTGCACGCGCTTAGCCCGTCGCCTGGAAGTGGGGGGCTGGCGGGGCCCCGGGGAGCGGAATGCGAGCGCGAACAGCCTGGTTTGTTCTTCCCTACGGCCCCTGACCTCCGTTCCGACCAGGGACGCTCAGCTGCTGAGGACGGAGCTGCCGTCTTAACACGCGATCTGGCCCTTACGAACACCGTGTTGGAATAACACCGTGTCATTCACGTGTCCCAAAACTCGCTCCTGTGAAGTGTCCCGTTCAGTGGGCGTTCTTTAGTGTTAGATTCACAACGTAGTTCGGTGGTGCCTACACATTTCAGAACATTTTCATCACCCCAAAAAGAAACCCTGTACTTATTTTTTTAATGTTTGTGTAGTTATTTTAAGTTTACTTTTGAGAGAGAGAGAAAAAGCGCAAGTGGGGGAGGGGCAGAGAGAGACTCTCAAGCAGGCTCTGCATTGTCAGCACAGAGCCCCATGCGGGGCTCCAACTGGAACCGTGACCTCGAGACCTGCGCCGAAGTCTCAGGCTGGACCGACGGAGCCCCCCAGGCGCCCCTAGAAATCCTTACTTACTATCAATCATTCTGACCACCACGAGTCCACTTCCTGTTTGCCTGCGGCTAGCTGTGTCCAAAATCCGTTTTATGTGCGTGGGTCTCCACGGGGCTCCTGGGCGGGGTTGACACGCAAATGCTGGCGCCCAGGGCCGGTGTCAGGGAGGAGAATGTGGCCGCTGCCCTGGCTGAGTCTGGACTCCTGAGCGGCCTCTGCGGGTGGCATCCGTTGTGTGCAGGTTTGACCGCGCTGACTTTTCGGATATGGTGCAGTACCGGCTGTGGCCTTGTGTGTCTGGCTTCTTTCAGGTAGTTTTTTCTGAGGCTCATCCTTGTTTCTAGAGCAGTGTGTTTGTTTCATTTTTCTTATGGGTGAAAACACTCCATTGTATGGTTGCTACTCTGCCACACCACGTTATCTTCATCGTTCCCAAGTTGGTGGAAAGGTGGTTTCTAATTTTGGGCCATCGTGGACGATACTGGTGTGGACATTGGGAGTGGAATTGCTGGGTCTATGGAACTTTGTGTTTAACACGGTGGCTGCGCCGTTTTACATTCTCTTCAGTAACATATGAGGGTTTCACTTTCTCTGAATCCTTACCAATACTTGTTATTGGCCATGTTTTTGATTACGGCCATTCTGATGGACGCGAGGTGGTATTTCATGGCTTTGACTTGCATTTCCCTAAGGGCCAATAATGTGGATCATATTTTCATGAGCTTGTTGTCTATTTGTAGATCTTTTTTTGGAGAAATGTCTGTTCAAGTCCTTTGCCCGTTTTGAAATTGTGTGTTTTGTTGTTGAGTTGTGAGAGTTCTTTCTATATCCTGGATGCTAAACACCTATCACATATACGTGGTTTGCATATTTTTTTTTTCTAGTTCTGTGAGGTGGCGTCTTTTTTTATTTTCTTTTTTGATATCCTTGGAAGCACAAGTTTTCGTTTTTTATAAGGTCCAGCTTCTTTTCTTTTGTTGCTCGTGCTTTTGGTAATGTGAAAAGTCAACTGAGGGGCTCGCGGAGCAAGGCAGACAAGATTGCATGGGGACTGGGGGAGGTTAAGCAGAGTTTGGTCATGAAGAGAACCTTTGTCACTTCATGTCCTTTAGCAATTGATGTGGGGCTTATGATATAGGTGTTTCTGTCTCTTCGGTGCAGAGAAAGGTAGGACCTTCATGCTGTGTAACTCCCTCCCTCTCATCCCCTTGCTGTGCTGTTACTGTTCTGCAGGCTGTGTCTGTACGTGTTACAACCCGACCTTAGGTTCTTACAGTTATCTTTTGTAATTAGCTATATGTTTACCTGTAACAGGCTTCTTGTTTTGTTTTGGATTATTGTCTGGTAACATTCCTTTTCAGCCTAAAACACTTCCTTAATGTTTCTCAGAAGGCAGGTCCGCTAGCGACAGATGGTCTCGGCTTCAGTTTATGTGGGATTCTCTTTATTTTACGTTCATTTTTGAAAGATGGTTTTGCTGGATGTAAGATTCTTGGCTGACTTTCGTCTTTCGGCACATTGAAATGTGATCCCACATGTTCTGGTCTCCATTGTGTGTGAGGTCAGCTGTCGGTCGTATTGGGGTTCCCTGTAGGTCGGGGGTCCTTGTTCATCTTACTCCTTTCAGGTGGTTCTCATTGCCTGTAAACATGACTCTGTCGTGTCTCAGTGTAGTTCTCTTTGTACTTACTCTGTGTGGAGTTTCTTTATCCTACTTGGAGTCTTTGAGCTTCTTGCACGTATCAGTTAGTGTTTTCCTCAAATTCAGCAAGTTTTCAGCTATTCTTTCTTTGGATATTTTTCTGCCTCTCTGTCTCTCTGGTACTTACCGGGGACACCCGTAGGCATGAGTATGGTGCTCTAAGACCATTCGTTTTCCTGCGAGGCTGTTTCTCTTCATTTTTCTGTAAGGCCTCTTCTTTCGTATTTCCTTTCGTAGGGCTCTGTTCTTTTTCTCTGTGTCCTTCCGCTTCTTGTTGGCTGAGTTGTGGTGGGGGCGGGGTGGGGGTACGGAAAGCCTTTCTTCCTCCAGCTGGGATAGGAGAGGCTATCCACCTGCAAGGTCTAAGGTCAAGTCTGTCTCTTCCCATTGGGCCTGCAAGTTGACTTTGAGTAGGGCTGCAGCTCCCCCTGCTGGTCCCCTGACTCCCTTTATTAATCTTCCTAGTGATGTATGGTAGCACTGGGTGGGGGGAGGGGGGTGTTGCCTGGTCGTTTTACTTGTTTATTGGCCTGGCTCTGAACTATGTGAGGTCTGCGTGCAGCCTCTCATCTCCCTGCTTATGCTCTTTTGTTTTTATCTTTTAGCCTGACCAGGTGGGTTTGTCTGAGCCACTTACTGGTCCAAGATTGTGCTTGAGCCCCCGTGTCCCATTAGGTGTTTGCTTCTTACCACTGGATGTATGTGTGTGGCTCCGGGCTGCGGTCACAGTTCAGGGAGTTTACATTTTTGATCCGCTTCCCAGCAGGGACTAGCAGCTTGGAGACTCGCTGTGATACTCCTGGCCCCGCGCAGCCTTGAGCTTCATGCAGCCTCCAGCTGCCGCCGCTGGGAGTTGCCCCTGGGCCACAGCGGCTTGTTGCTGAGCCACCGTCTGCTCGGAGGCTGCGCCTAGGCCCCTGTGCCGGTCGGCCTCTGCCCCGTGTTGTGTTTGGTTTGGGGAACACTTTCTCGTGTGCCCCATACGGTTCTGTTGAGGGGCAGCCTAGGCCTCCAGCGTTGACCGTTACCCACAGGGCACTTGCCTCTCTTTCTGATGTGGCCTCTGCTAAACTTCCGCTTGCTCTGCTCTGTGCTTACCTTGTTGCTGCTGGTATTTTGGAGCCACGGAGCACCCCCACCGTCTGCCTGGATCTCCAGTGTTTTCAACGACGCCCTAGACTTGTGAGTCCCCACAGTCCATTCCAGATAAAGTCCCGCCTCTGGCAGGACCTCTGTGCCCACACGAGGAGGGGGGCAGGGACAGCCTCAGCTTCTCCCTGTTGACACCCCTCTCTACAAGTGGGCGCTGGGGGGTGGTCCCTCGTCATCTTCTTGGCTTGTTAGTACCTGTGGCCTAGAGAAGCTGGGATGAGGGGTGAGAATTGCTGTTCTCAGCCTTCCCTGCCTCAGGTGGTGCTTCTTTCCCAACAGGTGGGGGCGGGGCGGGAGAAGGGATCCCCACCGTCTGGCTCACCTTCTTGGACTAGTGCCTGTGGCACAAGGTGGGGGGTTCGTTGGCAGCTGGGAGCTGGGGAGCCAGGAGTAGAGCTCCCAAGGGAGTTTCTGTAAGGTGGGGGTGGATAACAGGGCATAGCTCTTAAGCCATAGATTCTGTTCTTTTTTTTTTTTTTTTTTAATGTTTATTTATTTTGAGAGAGAGCAGGATGGGGGGTATGGGGGGAGGCGGGGTAGAGAGAGGGAGAGAGAATCACAGGCAGACTCCATGCTCAGCACAGAGCCTGACATGGGGCTCGATCCCACGACCCTGAGATCATGACCTGAGCCGAAATCAAGAGCTGGGTGCCTAAGTCACTGAGCCCCCCGGGCGCCCCAATAAATTCTTTCTGTTCTTGATGAGACTTTTAGTTTTCTTCAGTTAAATGGTTGTTGGGAGACAGTCTGCCACACCCCTCTCCCTGCCCATCTGGCAGAGGTTCCATATAGCCCTGGCTCTTAATCCCTGTGCCGGCCAGGCCAGGTGGGATTCTCACGGTGGGCAAAATCCTCCTGAGCTCAGGACACAGCCAAAGTTCAAGGGAAACAGCCCACCGTGAGTGAGAGTCTGCATCAGAATTAGAGGCCGTGAGGGCAGAAAATGGAATTATCAGATGGAGACTGTGAAATAAGTACGTTCAAAGTGTAGAAGTGAGAGAAGTGAGGAAAGAAAACGTTGAGACTAGGCAGGCGAGAAGAAAAAAGCAACAGATGGAACTTGTAGAACGAAGGGTATAGCTGTTGAGCTCTAACATGGAGTAGGTGGACTACTAGTTCCTAGCCACGTAACGACACCGTGGTCCTCCGAAGACGTTTAACAACGCAGCATCGACACCTGTCGTGTTGAGTTCCGAAACCTTGAAGCAGTTGGATGTGGAGTACCACTGTGAACGGGGTCTGAATGGCTGTCCAGAAAGAAGCGGGGATTGGCCGTGTGCACCCTGCCCCTAGTCTCCTGTGGCTCCTCCTTGGCGGGAGGACTCTGCCGCGCTGGCCTTCCCTGCTTGGTGCTCCCAGCCGCTCCTAGGCTCCAGCATTGCCCCTGTGAGTTTTCTGTCTCTTATTTACTGACTTTCCCTCCCACCCTGAGAACTCCCGAGGAGCGAGTCTGGGCTTCTCTCGCAGGTGTTCTGTGCGAGCTCCGGGCTGCAGGCCAAGCCCACACCTTGGGCCAGTTTCTGCCTCACCCCAGTCCTGTCTTGGTCTGTGGCTCCCCTGGGGGTCAGTGCTCCAGTCCCTCTGGGGTCCCTGTCCTGGAGCTGGACCCGAAATGAGTCAGGTGGGCCTGGGAGGCGGGCTCAGCAGAGTGTGACTGGCAGTGACTGGGAGGGTTTTGAAGTCTCCGTGTGGGGCTGATCTTGTGTCGGAAGCTGACCTGGGGGGAGACGATTGAGGGGGAGCAGTGGCTGTGAAATGGGGGAGAGTGCTATGGAAGAATGAGGTGGCGCAGGTTCGGAAGGGAATCTGCTTCCTGTCCCGGTGCTTCTGAACGTGGAGCTCGTGTTTCTGGTTGCTGCCAGTCCCGAGTCTGAGACGGTCTGCACGCCAAGAGCCAAGCCCATTTGGTGGTTTGAGGGGGGTGGGAAGACGTGCTGCCTTAGGACCCCAGGGTCTGAGCTCCCACTGGCCCCCGGGCTCAGCTTCGGGGTGGGGGGGCAAGGGTTACCTCTCCTAGGCCCTCTGAGCAGGAGCTGGCCCAGCCTTGCTCTTCTGAAGGCCCCCCGAGGGCTCCCCCTGCTTTGTGTCCGGCCTTACGTTTGCATTCTGGAGCCACAGGGAAGTCTCATGTCTTCTTTCCTTCTTAGGAATGGGCTTTCATGAACACTGATGTTTTTGCCGGGACCAAGATAGACCCCAGTGCCTTGGTGCAGAAGCTGGACCCAGACACAAGGAGCGTTGCTTCCATCAGGAGAGGTGAGAATGTGCGGCTAAGGTCTGGGTGTTTGTAGCACCGTGCCAGGCTGGGTTTAATGTGCTCACGTGTGGGCTGGGGCAAATTTCAGGTTAACCTATACGTTGCTTGTTTTTTATTTATGTATTTATTATTTTTTATTAAAATTTTTTTTATTTTTTTTATTTTTAAACTTTTATTTTTTTTAATGTTTATTTTTGAGAGAGACAGAGACAGAATGCGAGTGGGTTGGGACAGAGAGAGAGGGAGACACAGAATCTGAAACAGGCTCCAGGCTCTGAGCTGTCAGCACAGAGCCCGACGTGGGACTCGAACTCACTAGCTGCGAAATCATGACCCCAGCTGAAGTCGGACACTCAACCGACTGAGCCACCCAGGTGCCCCTAAAAGTTTTTTTAATGTTTGTTTACTTTTGAGAGAGAGAGCACGAGCAGGGAAGGGGCGGAAAGAGAGGGAGAGAGAGAGGATCCCAAGCAGGCTCCACACTGTCATCGTGGAGCTCGAACTCCGGAACCGTGAAATCATGATTCGAGCCAAGGTCAGGCGTCGGATGCTTAACTGGCTGAGCCATCCAGGTGCCCCGTCTTCAGGAGTTTTTTTAAATTGAAGTTACTCTTCCAGAGCTGACAGATGTCTTCCCCCGCATGCCACCCTGTGGCCTCTCCTCCAGCCTGTCCCACCTCCCCCAGTGGTTGTGAAGCTGTTGGCCTTCTGCCCTGGGATGGGCTCTGCCTGTTTGGTCGTATTGGTCTGGGCCGGCATGCCGCCTGCCTCTTGGGGCACCGGGTCTCTCCCTGCACAGGCCGAGCGCTCTGCCGAGTGGGCGGGCGGCCAGGCGCGGGACGGGGCTGCTTGGCCCACGCTCTCACCTTCTCGTTTGCTCCACCCGGTGGTCCTTGTGAGTGAGTGTCGTGTTTGTGGCTGCATAGCTGTGGCTGTGTGCAGCCCAAGGTAACAGAGGCTCAGCCTGGAGTTACCGAGCCCGGACAGATCTGTTGTCCGATGATGAGCGCCAGGCTCTTGCCACTTGCCGTGGCCCTTTGACGTCTCCCCTCCACCCAGAGGCGTGGCGAAAAGTAGCCGTGGAACGTGTGGCTTTTGTTCCTGTGGCAGCTGACCGACATCTCAGCGGGAGCCGTGTCCACTGAAGCACAGGGCACACAGATTCCTACTTCCCTGAGAGGTGGGCGCTGCAGGGGAGAGGTCAGCCGGGCTGTCTGTGGGCACGGGGACCCCGAGTCCTGTGCCTGCTCCCGGCCTGCCTGTAGCGGGGTCTCTGTGAGGGGCCGGCCCCAGGTGGAGACCCAGGGCAGAGAGTGGGAGAAGCCGTCTGTACGCCTGTGCCCTGAAGGTTCAGAGGGAGTAGTGGGGACGGAGCGTTAGTGCAGGTGTAGACCGGCACGGGACCCTGATGATCCGCATCGTTGGCTGCTGGATTTTGGAGCATCTGTTCACTTGGTCTGTCAGGTGAGTGTGGCATTTGCCGGGCAGGTGTGCCCCGCGGCCTGCCTAGGAGTCGCGCGGGGCTCCGTTAGCCGTGCTGGCCAGGCAGCGCTCCCGTGTCTGAGGGGCCGGCGCACCTTGTCCCCTTCACGGATGGTGCAGGGTGGGGGGGTGTGACAGTGTAGGGGCTGGACTCTCCCTTTGCTGAGCTCAGATGATGTGGCCCCACCTGGGAGTGGGGTGACGGCAGGCCCTCCCTCTGGCACCGCTGGCCCGGTTCCCTGCAGGGCACGGTCTGCTCCCCTCTCTCCCCACTTCTCTCCTCCCTCGCCTCTCCGCCTCTCCTGCACAGGGAGACCGGCTGAGGCTGAGTTCCCACCTTAGGGGGAGTTCCCACCTTAGGGGTATCCGCAGCCAGCACCAGCGGCCCTGGGACCCCACCCAGCCCTGTTGAACCTGGTTTTCATCACTCTCCGGTGCATACCGGCCAGTAGCCTAGTGGCTCCCGCTTGGCCTTTATAGGAGCTCAGAAGCCCCTCCCATCTTTTCTGGTCTCCTCTTGAAGATCCTGGATCCCAGACTGGTCCTCCCGGTTACTGGCTATGTATGGCCAAGTCCCTGCCATCATCTCCTGACTGGGTCCTAGCAGCCACTGCAGTCCTGTGGGGGCCTCCGTGGGAGCCCCTGCCGCGGCAGCACCTTGGTGTGTTGGCTGACCTGCCGGCAGATCTGGGACCTTGCGCTCACTGAGCAAGTCTTCTGCTCAGCAGACAGAACTCGGTTACCTCTTGCCTTTGCACTGAGTCTGAGGGCTTTTTAGAACATTCCGGACCATCGTAGGTGGCATTGGCTGCTCAGGGAGCACGGACACCCAGAAAGAGCAAGATGTTACTTTCAGCAAAGGGAACGCTAGAAGTCTGGGTGATGGGGACCTGAAAACCATAAGGGAGGTGGCCAGGAGGAGAGAAGGAAGGAAAGTACTTTGTTTTCTTTATGAGCTGGGCCGTCAGTTGTGGTCACAAGAAGAGACGAGAGCAGCGCAGGAAAGATTGTGCTGGAGACGGGGACACAGCACCCGGGGCCACGCGGGTGGACGCACCAGCGTGGTTAGGATTGGGTTGTACTCTCAGGTCCTGGAGACGGGGACACAGCACCCGGGGCCACGCGGGTGGACGCACCAGCGTGGTTAGGAGGCTGAAGATGGGAATTGGCTAGCCCCCAGCCGGAAAGGTGTTTTTTTAGGATATCAAAATGTCCTAAAAATATACAGAAAATTAAACATTTATAGAAGGAGAGGGCCCGGACTGTGGGTGTGGAGCTCAGAGCATGGGGTGTGTTGGGCAGAGCCGTGAGGGCCTCGGGGAGGCAGGGGTCCCGGGGACCCTGAGATGGGCAGGTAGCCTGGGGCGGGGCTGCTGAGGGTTCCGAGCGTGGGCTCCGGAGCCTGGAGAGCTGGCAGCTCTCAGCGGGGGGCACTGGGCCTGCTCTGGGCCTCGGTTGCTTATCTGCAGACGGGACATGTAGTACTGTTTTTGTCCTGTTTGGCCTGTTTTGGTGAAGGTGGGTTAGCAGGCGGGAGGTGTTAGCAGCCCGGACACCCTGCTTGGTTTTAGTCCGTGCCCGGCTCAACGCTGCAGAAGGCACAGCTCCTCCCTGCTGGCCCGCGGTGTCCGGCCGCCTCTGGTGACAGGTGGCAGTGTTCCAGCCTCTCCCCACCGCGCCTCCCTCTTTGCCAGCGGCTCTTCCATCTTGGCCTGGGTCACCTCGCCTCCCCACCGGCCGGTGCCCTGGGTCCCACGGGGAGACGATGGGCCGTGTGGCTCCCCTGGTGTGAGCTGGGGCTGCTGGCCCGGGGCAGGTGCAGGTCCTGTGGAAGGTGGCATCTGAGGACTCAGCTGCGGCTCAGTCACCTGCTGGGTCGTGAGGCCGAGGGTGTCTGTCGGCCTGGATTAGCGCGGACGCGTCTCTCCCACGAGTCCTCACCCTGAGCTGAGTCACAAATAGAACTGCTGTCTGCCTCTGGCCATGAGGCCACCCTGTGCAGGGGTGTGTGGTCTGGAGGCGGCCGAGCCTGCTCGGGGAGGAGCCCTGGCCTGCTTGTAGGTCCGTCCCCTGGCGCGGACAGATGCCTGTTGTACGTCCCCACCACGTGCACGCCTGTGGCCCCCCTTGCCCCACGTGCACACCCGTGCTCCTCCTCCCCTTGTGCGGACTTGCGCTCACACACAAGGGGCCTGTTTGGCCCCGTGGGTGCTTTGCTGGTGGCGTCTTTCCTGTTTGTACGTAGAGCCTTTGGGAGCCCTGCTGGCCGGGGAGCCGAGTCTGTCCCCCCTTGGGCCCACCTTCCATTCCAGGCAGGGGTGCTGAGCTCCCTGTGGGGGACCCCCTGGGCTCTGTGTGGTGGCCTGTGGCCCCTGTGGCGCCCCGTGGGGGCAGGAGGATGTGGTGTAGAGCCACAGGCCACCCCTAGTTCCTGCTGCAGACAGCCCCCCCCATCCCCCATCCCCCGGGGAACTCGGCTCTGCCCTGGGGGTCGGGGTCTGTGGGCTCGTGGGTCTGGGTGTGAAGTGGCTTCAAAGCTCCTCTGCATCCATCTTTGAGGGCCCAGGGCAGGTCTGGGGTGAGCGTCCAGCTCCCGCGTCCTTCCCTGGAACGGGACACCCTGTGCCCTTCCTGTTTCTAGCTGTGTCGTTCTCTGTGCTGCAGAGTCGCGGGAGACAAGTGCAGTGTGTTCTCACACGAGCACCCAGCGTGTCGGGCCAGTACTCGGTCCGGGGCCTGAGCCGGGCAGTGCCGGCCCCGGGACTCAAGCCCAGCGAGGCAGGCAGGCTGGGGCAGGCCTGGAGGAGGATGGGCCTGGCCAGGGCTGTTGGAGGGGAGAATGTCGGCATCACTGCCGAGCACGGTGGACACGCTGGGCCGGCGCGCAGGCCGCCAGGAGGCACTCTGGGGGCTGACGAGGCTGTGGCGGGAGAGGGTAGGGAGGTGGTGCTGGGACCAGGCCGGCCCCGGGCTGCGGTGGAGGGACGTTGCTGCGGGGACCCCTGGAGCAGGGGAAGCCCACACGGAGCACGTGTGCCCGTCCTCTTCATCTTCCGGCTCCGTGGCTGCAGTGCTGTGACCTTGGCTTTCAGTTGGGAGCAGGTGCAGGCGTGAAGCCTGTTCACCAGAGGGCGGCAGAGCTGCGTCTCTTTTCGGGTCAAGCCCAATTCCGAGAGGCCGGTCCTGCCGCGGGGCGAGGAGCTCCCAGCACGGATTCCCAGGGCTTTCCAGGCGCTGTCTTCAGGGAGTTTGTAAAGCTCCCCCTCCGAAGACTTTTCCCTCCTTCTCCAGTGTGAGGGAGGGTGTGACAAAACCCACCCAGAAAGTTTCATCACTTCTCCCCGCGCCACCTCGAATGTGAAACGTGCAAGGAGAGGGGGTTCTTGCTCTCTGGGCCTGGGCCCAGGCCAGGAACGTGGGGGCCTTGCTGGTGGCCGCCTGGGGACTGCTTTGGCTGAGGGGGTGTCTGGTTCCCCCGTGGCCTTCGTGCCGTCTTGAAGCCCACAGTGGAGGCACC